CTAAGAATTATAAAAATAAAAGCTTGTAAACTGATTGCTGAATTTTAAAAAAGTGAAAAAGTGAAGTTTCTTGTAATACATATATATGTGTGCGTGTGTTCACACATAAATCCTGTCATGTGTATTGTAAATGCTTGTAACTTCAGCTTGTTTAATCAATCCCAGCTATATACAGAACCATGGCTGTGACCTGGCTGAGCTAATGAGGGAAAGAACCAAAGGCAACAATGTAACACAGCATCCACTGACCCTGCCTGAGAGTTTGGTACATGACTGGCATGTATATGGGTATTTATGTGTAATATAAAGATCTTTATTATTGTCTTGCTTTTTATTTTTAACCTTCAAATGAGCGAATGAAAAACAATCAATGATGCTGTAGAGCTCTTGTAGTCAGCTAATTTGTGTTGGCTGATTGATGTTGGACCTCAGTGATTAGCGAACCCACCTGAAGCTCACACCAGGCCACTTCGACCCAGGTGTCGGTGTCGAGACCTTTATAGACAGTTTTGAAAGACCCTCTCCCCAGCTCGATGTCAAACTTGAGGAAGCGCCCTCCGGGCGAGGTGGCCACAGCCTTCATTCCGGGCTCCTCTTCGTTTTCGTCACTTCCTGCTTTACCTGTGACATCGGAGGGCACGACCTCTGCCTTGGGCTCGCTTTCGCTCCTGCCTCCCTTCTCCTCGTCCGCGTTCACGCTCTCTGTGGCCAGGTCTTTCAGGCCCACCTGGCTCTCCGTGCTCGAGGTCTCCTGGAGGCGGGTCGCGTGCAGAACCCGCGCCCGACTCCTGTCAACGATGGTTCGCAGGTCGATGTTGAGTGCCGGGCTGCTGTTGGCGAACTCCGGTGTGTCCACCGGCGGCTCTTCGGAGTCTGACAACCACTGGCTCCGCCGAATAAACCTGTGGCGGACCGGCACCTGGTAGTCTGTGGAGGGGTATGAGCTGGGGTCACTTGCTCCACGCAGGGCTGTGTTTTGTATGTTGACATTGTGGTCTGTACCATTCTCATACACAGGCCTGCAAGCATTTGCATTAATGTCCGAGTCCAGATTAGGTGCTGAGGAAAACGTGGATCCCAGTGGCGGATCTTTGCTTGAATCCACCGAATCCATCCCGGTTACGCTGTTAAACACTCACCGGCGACATTGTTTCTGGAGGATGATGAGCCGCTCTCTCGTAGCGGTGGAAGAGTTCGCTGCTTACCTGCAACACTCCAACACGGTGACGCAGTTCGCCAGTTTAGGGTGTATGGCCTTGGGTTTTTTGTTTGTTCGGGACACAAAACATCCCCCAAAAAATGTCCAGCGGGGAGGATGTTTGCTCCTTGCCACCTCACGCCCCGGTGGTCCACCTTGCTGCAGTACAGCACAGAGCAAGGCGACCTAAGCCTGGTGTCGCTGTCAGTTTAACCTATGAGCTCACGAAATCCGTTTCGACCACATTGCATAAGATCCTGCGCCTACTATAAAACTGTGATTTGTTCCGCAGACAAATAGCTGTTCTATAGGCCTACAGTGGACAGGCGGGGATGTTTAGACCGTGGCACGCACCGGCTCCTCCAAAGACACATCACGGGACAAGCAAGTGCGCGTCAGTCATCGAGACGGACTCCGGTGGATGCAAATATACAGCAGGTGTTCCGGGTGAAAGTGTGAATCAGCTCCGAGAAGTGTGACCTCAGCATAATTCCATCTATCCTCACACTCCGCATATACTTTTTCCTCTCCTGCGTCGTCCTGAAGCCGAGTGCAGGATGGACACAAGCGCTTATCAGATTATGCTCACTGCGGCACAGCTTGCCTCACGTCGTCGGAGCACACAGCTCTCAGCGCATCTGTCGTTCCAGATGATAATGCTGTTTTCTTCTTCAATTTCATCTCTTTCAGGTTTGGGGAAACTAGAACATTTCACGGCACAACCCACGCCCCTAGCAACAGCACGTATCCAATAACTCGGCACGCTTTTAGGCGGCACCTTTACCCTCCCCGGACACAGGCTGTGTGGTCCACACCGCTGTCCGCCCTCATCGTGACGCGCTAAGCCTCCAATGGGAAGATGACTGAAAGCCTACCAACCAAGAGGCACGCTGTGGGTTACCGGATAACACGCACCGGACCCTGTCTTAACAGTAGACTCATCCGGATGGATGACGTGCAGACAGACCGACACATGAGAACATCTGGTGTATTTCTCGAAGAGCTATCATAGGTTTTAGTCCCCTTAGACATTTTATTTGTGCTTACAGGATTTATTAAACAGGGTTAAACGGGGTCTTTGTATCCATATCGTAAAACAAAAACAAACAAATTATAAAAATTAAGTTGGAATTAAGTCAGAAAGGTAGCATATATTAATACATATTTAACATATTTTCATATTATCTCTGTGACATAAATATTATTTTCATTATATTAATAAACTACGAAGATCTGATAACAGTCTACATCACATATCTTTAAAGTATTTAAACACTTTTTATGGTGATCTGAAAGATGTACGAAATATGTTATTATCTTTATTTTAAAAATAATATAATATATTTATAATTTTAATCAGGGCATTTGGTATCAGCAAAATTTGTGGAAAAAATGTTGTCAGCACCTGGGGTACTGACTTTTTGTTTTATACTTTGTGAAGCACTTTGTGATCTTTTTATCTAGAAATGTGCTATATAAATAAAATTTTACTTACTTACTTACCAGAAGCTCAAAACAGAAGTCAGTATTGGATAAGCTGTTTGGCATTGGCAGGGAAGATTTGACAAGTTTATAAGGGCCCAGCCCACACACTCAACTCGCTGCTCAATCCACAAATGCATTTTCCTTACAAGTGTGGCACCATTTAAGGGGAAATAAACAGGCTTTCTAACACTATGAGATTTATTTCCAAAAAGCATTGTTACAACAAAGAAATAATTGACCAAAATAAAACAAGTGGAAGCTCAGAGGAGGATATAACCAGTTTTTGAGACACCTGATCTGGGGCAAAATGATGACCCCAATATCAATTATGGATACCAAGTATTGTGTAAGGCAGGGCTCTGAAGACGTGGAGCTCTGAGGTTTGGTTTCTCAACTGCTATCTTTTCCCCCTCATTTGTTTCTGTGATGGACTAATCTTGAAGAATCTGTCCTGATTTATTGGTTTGGCAATAACTAGGAACCACTAAATATGGATCTAATGTTATCCGAGTCATGCTGTGAACACAGATATCCTGATGAATGTTTGCAGTTTTAAGGCCATATTCGGAGATGAAGCACCTCCGTTTGGCTTGTGACATTTTTTCTACTCTAAAATCTGGTTTCCTATTTTCTGTGTGATGTAATCAGAGGACCAACTGTCTTGGTGTATGTGGGCAGTATTGTCATTTTTTCACCCAATTTCTGTATCATCTAAATTGAATTGATAAAGACAGGAAAGGTACGGTGTAATGCACTTTTAGAATAAATACTATAAATACTAATACTGTCAAACTTTAAGCTGATGCCTGTGCTTCTCATCTCCTGACAGCTCTAGGTCTGACTCCTTGTCCACGATTGTGAGGAAAATCGTTTCTGCCTCAGGCTGCCCTCTGCTTCCTATAATTTGAACACAAAATGCGAGGTCCCTATGGACACTGATTAAAAGTAAAGAGGTAAAAAATAAATAAATAAATAAATAACTAAAAAGGTAAAATTGACATACATCTCTTAAATCCTAAAGCTAGGAGTCTCAAACTGAAGAAAACAATTTGATTTTAAGCAACAGAATCAAAATATTTGCAATATTATCACTTACCCTCCCTTTTGGCCATAAAATGTGGAAACTGCCATTCCCCTCATTTAGAGCCCAACAATCTAGCACACAGTATAGTATCAAGGTTTCTTTCTTTCTTTCTTTCTTTCTTTCTTTCTTTCTTTCTTTCTTTCTTTCTTTCTAAGACTATACTGTGAAAGTATTTTTACATTCTCCACACCTGTCAACAGGAAAGTTGAGTTTAACATTTTCTTTTTTTATATAGTGTCGACTTTGTGAGACAAAGATCACCAGGGTAACGCAGGGAGCAATGGGAATCAGTTGGTGGGTGGTAACAGGCGCTCTAAAGGCCCATAAAAACAATTATTAAACAGTCCTGTCATCCTCACTGTGCCTTATGTAGCACTCACACATCACCTAAAGTATGTTCGACATTTCAGCAGAAAGATCTGACTTGCTTTTTCGTACTTAATTTGATACTTGACTTGTAGTAGAAAGCAATCTTGTAAAACGTAATCATCATCCACTGGTGACAAATATATGATGCTATGACATCATGTAGTGGGTGGTTTAGGAACTGTTTATTCCTGGAGTTTTACATACATACATATATATATATATTTTTTTCTTTTTCTTTTTCTTTTTTACTTTGGTCTACTACAGGTAAAGTTATATCTAAGACAGTGTAGCACATTCAAAAACCAAAAAATAAAAATAGTTCACATGTCAAACGCTAATTTTTTAATAAATTCTTTGTCTCTTTTCCTTATATAATCATATGAATTCAACTTGTTGTGCTCCACATATACGACTGGTCTCTCACAGGTTCTGTGCCCCACAGACTGACAGCCCAAGTATACAATGCTCTCCAACACCTCAAACTATTGTACCAGATTACGTTATTTATCCTTACATTTTATTGGCAGTTTGCACATCATTTACACTTTTTTACTCTTGTTTTGGTTCAAAAGAGAGTGAGCTCCTCTCAGTGGACAGCCTTGGATATAAATACAATGTGAGTGCAAAAAAGAGTCAGTTCATTTATTCCAATTCTGGTTTTTGTTTTAAGGGCAATACAGTGTTACCACACTAGATGGCAGTAAAGTCATTCTTCAACCGTCTGTCAGCGAATAAGTGTGACAATTATCCAAATAAAATTCCATTTATGTGTATTTGTTACTATAAGTGTGTCGTACTAACCCCATATATATAGTATAGTGATACCCAGCCCTCCTCGCAGTTCTGCTATCAGTCCCCCGCTTTTCTGAGGACAGCCGCCCTCATGTTTTAGGGGCGGTAGTCTGAAGCTATTCGTCCTTCTTCCTCACATATTCATTGTACAAGCCTGTAAGGACCGACTACAGCCGCGGCTTCCCAGAGACCCACGGCGGAGCTACATGAACATCCTCTTCGATAAACATTGACAATAATGGCTACTGAAAACTTCGAACTGACCGGCGATGCGGACAAAAACGGCGAGGCAGAGGTAAGGACTGCCAACAAATTCTTGTTTAGCAATATTAAGCCCCCACTAACATCCTGCTCAGGCTCAGCCAAGCGCACATTCCCACAGAAATAATTCCCAGTTTGTGGCAGTGTGGGATATTCCCGGCTTACACGGGGTTTTTTTTCCATCCATTTCTCTCATCTGTTCACTCCTCCTCATAATGTCGCTTGATGTAGACCAGAGTGACTGAACTTGTGTCATTCAAAGTATTAGACATGTATTGAGCTAACTGTAGCCAGTTAGCTGGGGTTTGCTTTAATTTGCCTCAAATTCCAAGGCTAATTTGAACATTTTCTGACATTTTCCACTTGGTTTTGTGGTGTGAGAGAGAGCTCATCTGCTGTTGTCCAAAGGCTCAGTTTACTTCAGATGATACATGAGGACGGAGTTTAAGCATTGTTCTGTGGAGGATCAGGTGGATCAGGTGGACCAGCTCACCCAAAATCAGTGATAACATGTAACTAAGTGGTTTGTTCAAATAGTACACCTTTAACATGCCTTTGTGTCCGTAGTCTGAGATCAGTAGGAGCTTTATTTATATGAGATGTTTAGAGTTATCTATGACATTAAAGTAACAATGACATTACATGTGTTTTATCAAAACGTCCAAGGTGTCACTTGCATGAGAATACACTGCATGCTGACCTTAGCAGATGAGTGCAGTGGAAAGCTACAATAAAGTGTTGTGGGGTACACTGCTTATTCTGCCATAGTAGTCCACAGGAAAGACTCTGAAGTATGCAATGGGTAATCCAAACCCAAGGCAGAGAAACCCAGTCATTAATGATTGACAGGCTCATTTGAGTTGTATCAAAATTATTAGGTTACTTGATTAAGTGAATCTTATAATCAGTTTGTTACTACCACTATTAAATAGCTATTAGTTATGAATTTGATTAGTCATAATTTGAGACGCATTAGTTGCATTCCCGATATGTCAGTAATAATTAAAAGTAATAATGATCAAGTCAGTGTGAGAGACATACACCAAGTTCTCACCTCAGAGTTCCTGTGCT